CCATCACTGGGATAAGGGCTTACGTGCCCCAACGTGTTGTGGCTACAGCAAGGAACGATAGATAACGGCTAGGGAATTTGGGGAATGTTGCTGGTTCAAACTAGCACCGGACGAGGATTCCAGGGTGGGAAGAAGCTGTCCTCTTAAGTCATTCTCCTGGATGCAATTCGACAGGAAGCCGCGGAAGGCTACCAGCGCTGCCTGATGTCCCAGTACAATCGCAACGACAACCCTGAGGATGTGAAGCGCCGGGCCATGGCCGATCCTGAGGTGCAGCAGATCATGAGTGATCCAGCTATGCGGCTGATCCTGGAACAGATGCAGAAAGACCCACAGGCGCTAAGCGAGTGAGTGAGGGCTGGGAAAGCCTGCGAGGAACAGTTAGATGGTCTTCACAAACTTGCTTGCTAATGGATGTAGCTAGAGCAGTGTTTCTCAGCCTTGGCCACCTGAAGATGGGTGGACGTCAACTCCCAGAATTGGCTAGGGAATTCTGGCAGTTGACGTCTACCCATCTTCAAGTGGCCAAGGTTGAGAAACACTCAGCTAGAGGCTGTTAAAATGATACCGTTCCAGCGTGCTTCTTTCCATAGGATTGCACAGTCTCTTCTAGATTAAGCTTTTGAGTTCTGAAGTGTTCCAAACAGTTAAGGAGTTCCTAAAGCGTTGGCGTGTAGCCAGGCAAGGTATGGAACCCTCTCTTTCCAGACCTTCCATTCTGAGTCATGACCCCATTCCCTTGCTCTCCTTTCTCCAGACACTTGAAAAACCCCGTCATCGCTCAGAAAATCCAGAAGCTCATGGATGTCGGCTTGATCGCCATTCGGTGATGATTCTGACTCTCTTCTCCACCCCCCCCTTGTTGAAAAGGCAGCCGGGACTTCTCAATGAAAGCAGTCCAAGGGGGCGTCTCCTCTGCGAGAGGCAGAGACTCGTACAGTTGGGACAGATGTCCATCTCTTGCACACGTGTGCTCGTACCATCCACCCTACTCGGCACCCGGAAATCGACCTGTCCATTGTCCTGGCCCATTGCTCTGTCTCAGTTACCCCAATTGTGAGTCGCTGCCCTCTTTTTCTTCCCCTCTCTTCCCCTTGCAGTTTTTAATTCTCTTGGCCAGCAACTGTGGCACGGGGAGCCTCGTCACTCATTTTCCCGGTTTCGTTCGGCTGCGAGGCTGCGGTTTTTTTTGGTCTCCTGCGCATCCAATAAAAGAGCAAAGTTAGTGGCCTTGTCTTCTTGAGTCGCCTCTTTTCAGCTGAGATTCCCACCGGTCTGTTCACAGGGCGATGCTTCAGCTGGCAAACAAAGCTGTGATAGTGGAGTTTGGGCCAGTCTGTTATACCAGCTTGAAAAAGCAGAAGCTTTGCGGGTAGTATAAATTTGATCAAAGTCCTGCTAGGGAGGGGGCGGTAGAACCAGGGAGGGGGTCATTTGGTGGCCACAGAATGACGCATGTCTGGAGGGGGGAAAATTGGGGGAGCATTCAGGAAAAGCGGGTTTTGGCTATTCAGGATTGGGCATCCAAGGAAGAAACATATGGAGGAGCGCTTCAGAGAGCCCCATTTTGTTTGCAGATTTTGCTTGTCTGATAGTCTGCATCCAGAGTTTGGAGTCTGCGATCTGTGCTTTTTACATGATTTCTTAACTTTTTTTTTTTTTGCCCCCTCCCCCCTTTCCCTTCTTTTTGCTAATCTGCATTCAACAAAAACCAATGCATTACACTGAAGTATATCTGTCCTGTCTGACTACAGGAATGTTTTAATTGTCTTCCTAAGACTTCATCAGAGCACGACTAAAAGTGTTGGGGCCAGGGTGTGCAATCTGGAAACGTTGCATCAGCATTTCGAATTGGTGCAATCCGCTCGCCAGAACGTCTTCCATTTCTGCGGAATTGCAGCCAGCGGCTTCCATGCTGCAGGAAGTCTTGTGTTTTATGTTCCTCCATAATAACTACATTTCTCACCCTTTTTAAATTTAAGCTGCAGGTGCAGATGGTTTGATTTTCAGGCTCCTTAAATCAGACTTTGTGTCTTTTAAGGTGTTCATTTTTCCTCCCTCTTCCTTCTGTTGCCTCCTTTCCTAGAAGGACTTGATTCTCGCCAGTTGGAAATAATAAATTGGGGGCTTATTTGTTTCCAACCGTTGCTATTCTGCTGATACATGCTGATTTCATTTGCACTGACCAATTTTTGGCTGTAGACTGAAATAGTTTATATTAATGTACCAGATTATTCCTGGCTGGAGGTCTTGCTGGCAGGCTGTAGCCCTCCCCAACCCAAGCCTTCTCATTGCTCTTTAGAATCAATGGCTAATGTCAGGCTTGAATTGAGAACAGGCAGTTAGATGCTAAGAGAGAGCAATGGCGTTTAATCCTGCCGAACCCAAGCCCTACTCCTTCCTTGGGGAACAGAACGTTACAGTCCACTCTCTGTTCCTTTAACTCATAGCAGCATTTTTTTTTCCTGTTCTTGGCCATTTCCCCCCATCTCTGTCCCAAGCTCCAGACGAGTAAAGATGAATTTACATTCTGCTCCTTCCTGATACTGAGTGAGGACATGGCATTGTCATAAAGCCCATTCAGAGTGAGGGTGTCACTTCCTCCGCTGAGCTGGCGACAAGACGGCAAGAAAGCTGAGCAAAAAGGGCAACTTCTGATTCAGTTCACAGCAACGGTTCCCCAGAAATGAGAAGCGTCATAAGGTTGCATCTCTGCCACTTAATGGCTCGGTGAAATCTTATTTCCAGCAATCTCTACCGCTACAGGCAGCCCCAATCCAGTTAGCCTTTCCTGACTATCCCCAGATATTTGGGACTGGTGGATTGGCTTTTTATTGCTCTACATTGTAGCAGAAATGATTTCGGCAACCTTGAACATTAGTTATCCGGAACGTTAATTGTCGGTTTTAAAACTTGTCCGCCGCCCAGAGCCATTGCCGTGAAATGGTCAACCATGTGAATCATTTAAAGAAAGAGATAATAAAAATACTCAGAAGAGCCCAGGGTAAGGGTGAGTTGTCTGTGACTGACACATTTGAATGGGGCAATCTTAACCCCCAAAGGTTCTCATGCTCCACGTCTGGCGACGCTTCCGTCAGAAGCACTCACGGCCCCTTTTTTGCAGCACTTCTCCCTGCCCCCCTGTTATATTCAACTAGAGTAATTCCAGTTGCAACAGTGGGTGAAGGCAAGGCCAAGATCCACCCATCCTGTGCCTGCAAGCAGGCATGCTGTAACCGTGTGACCCTTTCCTCCAAAGAAAAGGGAAGTGGATGGAGACAGTCCTGCTTACCAGTGGCGCAGCAAGAGGGGGTGGAAGGCTGTCTTTGGCCAGCCTCCCGATGCTTTAGAATATCGTTCGTGCAAATCTTGGGGCCCCAGTTTGAAAGGGGTGAAGAAGTTGAGAAAGTTGAGACACGCTGACCTGCGTAAAGAGAAGTTTGCTGAAGTGGCCCATCTTTGCATATCTTTGGTAGAGTGAACTAGCAATGCCGGCTAAAGTTGAAAGATTCAAGTAACTCAGGGTCAGCTGAGCTTGTAAATAAGCAAATGTTTCTTAGTGTTTCATAAGAAGGAAGTCGAGCTGGGGAGTGCACCCCGTACGAAGAACCATTGTGCCAATTTGTACCCTTTCCCCTCCAAGACGTGAGTAGGGACTTCTGTTACGATGCAAGGAAGTAGCAGATGCCAAGCTGTTTTGTTATCCCAGATCTCCCAAACCCTAGCCACCCTGCAGGAACCAGGTTACAGGGACGGCAAGCTTCAAATGACCACAATTTGCACGAATCTGTAACCCAGAAGACCACATTTTTAGATGGGATTATTTTGGGCTTGCGACTCTAGGGGACAGATAACCTGCAGTTAAAAAATCCTTTGACCTATCCATTTTATTCAGCCCCCAAGACTCTCTGAAACGTTGACCACGATTTTTCCTGGCCCTTTCGAGCATAGCGTTGTGACTTTCAAGATGAGAAATGGTTTTAAGCGTTTGCCCCCTATTCTGCATCAAAAGCTAACTGGGTTGTGTTTCATTATTGCTACATGCCCCCCCCCCCAAAAAAAATCTTACAGGCTTCCACCACCCTTCTGTCAAACATTATCTAGATGAAAAGCATCTAGAAGCGCTGGGGACGACTCAGAACAAAAGGCGCATCGGTGCTGCCACCGGATGTGAAAATAGTGAACTATTTTTCTTCTTTCTTAAATGTGTGAACTAGTTCAGAAGTTGATATTTCCTAAGAACTTGTGTCTCAGGAAAGATGGTGTTTTTTTCTCAAAAAAAAAAAAAAAAGACCTAATTTCTAGATCTTACGGTGTACGAAGCAGCAAAATGGTGAATTCACAAGCAGAGAGAAGAGAGGTTGGTGAAGGTGTCTTTGGTACTTGGGTCAACTGCCTCCTTTATCCAACCAGGAATTTGACTGTATTCCAGAATGACAGGCAGAGAAGGGGGTCATGGAGAAATATATTCAAAGCCAGAATTTCCCTTTCTAATACTGGGATTCACACAGTTCAGTCTCTTTTAAAAAAAAAATCATTTCTTTGTAACTTAAGCACCAGGCATTCCCCATTTGCCAGAAAATAGCAAGCATAAATCCCCCCTTCGCTGTCGGGGAGGTGGGTGGTGATGTGTTGAGAGGTCTGTAAGACAGGAGTTACTGTGCGACCTGCCTGCAGCAACCGTTGGCTTAGATCTGCCACAAGGAGAGTACAGTCATAACTTTGAAACGTGCCCCTCCCAGCACTCGATGGGGGCTTTGCAATGCTTTACTCAAAGCCTCTGGCGCTGCAAATGTGCGCTGGGTCACAGACGCAGCAGGGAGGAAGTCGCCAAGGGGGTGGTGCGGAGAATACGCCCTAAATTGGGGAAAGACCTGCGGCAGAGGCGTGTCGGAACAAAAGGCCAGTGGTGGATCCCCCGGGGGACTTGTTTGCAAATTCAGGCTGGGGGTCTGGAAAAACTTCAGGTGGAGGTCAAAGCAGTGAAGGTACGTACTCACTTTTTTTTCCCTTCTCTTTCCTTTTCTAGCACAAACGGTTTCTCTTTTGAAAAAATGAGGGTTCTTTCTCTTCACGGTTTCCAGACAAGCTCCCTTCGTTGAACCACTTGGGGTGCTCCCTAGGAAACTCAAAAAGGCACAAAGGATTTCCTGTATTACAGTACTTCATTTCTGGGTTTTAAGAAGGGAGGGGTTCCTTACTGCCTTACGCGAACCATCCTTGCCTGTTTTCTAGGGGCCCTTTGGGGAGGCAGAAGCGTGGACCAGCGGCTCCTTTTCAGTCTGCTCCAGTTCCCTCTACAGAACCTCCCTGTTCAGGAGCACTTTACCCTCCGGATGCCCAATTCTGTAGGGGGGAGGGTGAGCAAAGGAGGGGGGCTGCTTTCAAATCTTTAGAAGCATCTGGCAGGCTGCTGAGCGGGGAGAGGGCGAAGATGCCGAGCACGGGGGCAAGACTGTTTTAGACTCTCACAGCTGCGGCAAATATATTTACTGTGGCCGCCATCTTGCGAGATAAACACACGTTTCTGTTTGGTGGGTCCTGTTTGGTGGGCCAGTACTGAGCAAATACAAGATTCATGGAGCAGAAAGGCTGCCTTGAAGCTGCTGGGGGAGGTATACAAAAGGTATTTAGAATGAGGGAGGTGTATTTAGTCTGTGGCACTCCTATGCAAAATTCGGATGACTAGCACAAGGCCCAACCTCCCCAAACAGCTGTCTGAGTCATTTCCAGCACAAACGACCGAAGCTCAGAGGCCGGGTTCTTAACGTTTCCTGGATTTCAACTCCTTTCATGGAAGAAACTCAAATCCATTGCTTTAAAATCAACGCCCTCTAATTTCCATTAACCAAAGAGTCTTGCCAAGTTTGGGGGTGTCCAGACCCGTCCAGCAATATTGCAGAGGTAGGAAAAGTTACAGCTGGGGGCAGGAGGAAGAATTCAGACAGGAGAAGACTAGAAATTTGGCATTTTCGCCCAAGCAGGGGGTGCCCAGCAGCGTTAGAAACCAAGTGGGTTTTGCATCTCGGCATCTTTCTCACGGCAGCCGAGGGGTGGGGCAGGGGGGTGGCACCATAGTCTGGACTTGCAGACCCGCATCGAACTGGATCACCCCGAGTTGCTTCCGGATGCAACCCGATGGCTCCTCGGACGCGTTGCACAAAGCCGTACCAGCACCAGCTGGGTTGGGATGCTGTGTGCGGTGGGAACCCAGCCCTGCCACTCCTTGCCAATTTTCTTTAAGTCAGCGGAGCTCATCCTGGCTTGCGCAATGGCAGAATTCAGCAGACGCAGGAGGGGATGCACCCTCTTCCTCCTGGAGCTGAATCAGACTCTTGGCCCATCGATTCCAACACTCGAGTGGCCTTCACTGTCTGGATTTGAGGCAGGAGTCCCTCTGAACTTTACAAGGCCCCTCGTGGCATCCCTCGGCACCAGTCTGCCCGCACCTCCTTCCTGTTTCGCGAAGGACCCCACGGATGGTTCCTGTTCTCCAAGCCATTCATCCTGATCTTGGGCGGAGCAGGATGGGGCCCTCTGAGGAAGTCAGCCAGGTTTTCTGCGGTGCTGGGGACCGCTAGCTAGCTTGAAAGGTGAGAGGCATCTGCCTCTTAACACCGGGGTGGGCAATGGATAGGCAAGTTTGGCATTTTGAGAGCTGGCCAAGGGCGCCCTCACAAAATGGCTGCCATGCTGGGTGCCTGCCGTCCCAGAGCTCCCAAGGCAAATTGCCAAGGGGGCTCTCTGCCCCACTTCCTAACATCCCCCTACAAGTGCTCTTGATTCACCCAGCGCAAATTTGCCTTTTTTTCAAAGGCATTCCAAGGAAACCATTAAGCATCATTTACTTATTATTTTCTAAGAATGCTTAGGTACCCCGTGGGGTCATTCTTTTAAAGAAAGAGGAGGCTGGAAGGGGACCGTTACTTTCCTCCTCTTCCTCCTATTTTTAATTAAAAGAACATTTTTGAAAAATAAAGATAAGTGAGGTGTTTGGGCACAGCAATCAAGTTGCCTCCCCCAGGTTTAACTGATAGAATTTCTCTGCGTTTGCACAGGATCCATCCCCTTCAGATATGATTTCCTGGTTCCTCTGATAGTGGTGTGGGATTAGGACCATAACGGAGCTGAAACCGTGCCTTTGCATAAATCTTAAGGCTACGGCTTTGCGAACCTAACTCCTCCTTACAGTATCCTGTCTACGCACTGTACTATTTTTGGCTGCAGAGAGCAGCAAGATGCTCTGATTTGTTTTTCTTAACCCCAAGGACCTCAAAACGAACCCTTGTTCTGCAATGGCATCAAATGTCATCTAAATCTGGTTTCATCACAAAGATCAGTCGGAGTGAAGGTAAGAAGCCTTCGCTCTGACTTGGCTTTGTGATGACTTCACTCTGACGTGGCTTTATGACCACAAGACTAGTCTGTGGACTAATCCATCAGAGATCTAGTTCTTTTTACGCTACCTTTTCATGCTTTGTTCTTCTCTCCTACTCCATTAGCACCACCATGGCTGGGATAAAAACAGCAAGCGGGGAATACATTGATGACTCCTGGGAGCTCAGTGTCTTCGTGGAGGACCTGGGACCTGAGGCGGACCCCATCAAACTCCGAGTCACCGGAAACCTGCATATAGGAGGCATCATGTTACAGATTGTGGACAAGTTAAGTAAGTCAATCAGTGTATTTTCTTTCCCCAGTATTCAAGAGAGCTGAGATGCCGTTTTTCCAAGAAGCAACGTCTTCAGACCGGGAAGTTTTGCCCCGTCAAAGCTTAGGCATCTGAAAACCGCTGTACTTAAAGAGCCAGTGGCTGAAGCGGACTCAACATCCAGCTCCGCACAAAACTCTCATTGAGTGACTTTTGGGCCAGTCATCCTCTTTTAGCCAAACTCTATATTTAAAAAGCAGTAAAGTAATTTTAGCAAGAGTCTTTTAAAAAGAGGACTGGGAACATTTATGGAAAGAAGGAAAGAAGGAAATAGAGTCTATCGAGACCCATAAGTTAAGTGGAGCCTCCCTGTCCAGTAGCAGTATATCTTTGAGCACCCAATGGCTGGGAAATGGGGACCAGCAAGGAATTTACATTGTACTGGAGGGCTACCTGGAAGCATCTGGAAAGGCACTTTCTCTCTCTGTGTGAATGTGAATATGAGATTGCCTCATGAACACCAGCAGCCTTAAGAGTTTTCAGGGCTCTGGACAAGAATGCCATTGTGAGACCCCATTGAAGATTGATTTTTATAACCTCTAAGCAATTTAACAGTTCTGGTCTCTCTGATTTTATTCTAAGATTTCTCAACCCATGATGTAGCTGTGAAAGCACAGGGATTATAATTAATAAATCTGTAAGTGAAAGAAAGTTAAATTATCTTGTTCATTACCGTCTCCATGATGGAGACTTTATCCTACTTTTATTTTCATCTGCTGTCCTGAGACAAACTAAAAACCTAATGAATGACTGGCATGAAACTCAACAAGTCTTTTCAGATGCAAAACTCTTAAGAAGATCAGTATTTTTTTTCCCATTTTATTTTCAACTGAGATCTTTGCTAATCCAGCTAGTCATTCTGGCGACACGGAAGACCAGGTTGTATAATTTCCCGTTTGGGAAATGATGCATCTCTTCCTGGTTACAGGTAGAAGAACTGAACATAAAATGCATATTAGGGTACATAGTTGGAATATTATACCCTAGTTGTTTTTTTTTTTAATTTACTGAAATAATGCCCCAGTTGGAAGCCCCCTCAGGCGGGGCGCCCTGGGAAATCATCAAATTTGCCTCCTTCCTAAGGCCATCACTGGTACGAAGAAAAGGAAAACAGATGTCTGCATGGGAGAAGGGCCGTGACTCAGCTTGGGGGTTGTGACCAGACCCTTCCTTGTGGGACCCTGGCATTATCCAGATAAGCAATGGAAAACATTGTCCTGAAACCACAGGGGCAGATACTACTGGTTTACACCCCAGAGAATGATAACCAGGCCCGGAAGTCAGCTGTTTCTAGCAGTTCCTTAAATTTTTTGGTCTATTTTAAGTCTTTGAGCACCACCCAGAAAGAGGGGGAAAAGATGGAAAACTCCGTTATTTGCTCCTCTCTCCCAAAGAGAAAAACGTTATTTCTCCTGCATCTTCCTCAGCTAAAAGCCAGGCTGACTGACAGTCTTGGGGGTTGCAGTCCTCGCCTGTCGGGAAGGCACATAGCCGGGGAAAGGTGGTTACAAATCGCTGGGTTTTATTTATTTATTTTATTAAAAGATTTTTTTAAAAGATAAAAACGAATGCAAAGTAATATAAAGGAAGAAAAAGAAAGAAAGAAAGAAATCAAAGAGAAAGCTAAAAGTGCAAGAAAGGGGAAAAAAAGTAAAAGAAAAATAGAAAGACAGTAATATAAAGGAAGAAAAAGAAAGAAAGAAAGAAATCAAAGAGAAAGCTAAAAGTGCAAGAAAGGGGAAAAAAAGTAAAAGAAAAATAGAAAGACAGTAATATAAAGGAAGAAAAAGAAAGAAAGAAAGAAATCAAAGAGAAAGCTAAAAGTGCAAGAAAGGGGAAAAAAAGTAAAAGAAAAATAGAAAGACAGAAAATAGTACAAAGAAGTAGCTTCCAATCTTATTTACAGCAGTTATAAGTACCATTAGAAAGAGTCATTTTGTGTGAAATAGGCAGCTATATAAATGTGACAAATAAACAAACAAACAAACAAAATTATAAATTCACCTCTTATTCTATGGTTACAACATAACTCTCTTCACAAATCACTGTGTTTTAAATTGATTTGAGTGCAACACCTCTCTGCTGATTCTGCTAAGAGATCAGCTCTATTAGATTCCTTGGCTTCCTCAGGTGTTTCTATTAGTTTTAAAATGGTCAACTCTAGGAACTTGTCTCTGAGTTTGTCTTTTCCTCTTCCCTCCTCAGCTCTCTTCCCTCTTGAGATGTGTCTCAGCTCAGAAGATAACTATGCACTGCTTTGTATTTTAAACTGATGTTATCCAAGGGACTTTTCGTTCCTTCCTACCTCACCCATGCCATTTCAGCAGCCTCTTGGGCCAAAGAGCAGGATCAAAATGCTTCCAGTGGTGGGCACCTTTGCTTTTGCAATCAGATGTAGTCTCCCTTTCTGTCTCCTTTCTCCAGAACTTCAGAGGGACTGGTCAGATCACGCCTTGTGGTGGGAGCAGAAGAAACTCTGGCTCCTGAAGACCAGCTGGAGCCTGGATAAATACGGGATTTTGGCTGATGCCAAACTCCACTTTACTCCCCAGCACAAACTGGTGCTCCTTTTCCTGCCAAACCGCTGC